GTGTGTGTGTGTGTGTGTGTGTGTGTGTGTGTGTGTGTGTGTGTGTGTGTATGTGCGTGTGGACAAAATCTATTAATGATTATCAACTCGTACTCTTTTTCTGCTCATCGGACTATGGTACATAGAATCTGTTTAAGATACTAACGAACAACTGAAAACATAATTAAGTCCTGCATTAAAAGTTGTATTTATTAAACACTAATTAATGTACTGAAGTAAAGTCTCTAACTAAATTTATTTAAGATTTGCAATATCTAATCAAGTCACCGTTAAGTTTACGTTAATGTATTTAATCCTTAATGCTTATGTAATAAGGAAAGAGTTTTAAAACTTACAAATGTATTTAACATAAATTTCATGATATATAGAATTTGTGGCTAATTAACCTGTTTATTTATTTATATATTTCTGTTTGTGTTCTTTTTATATAATTTTAATTGCAGAATAGCTTTTGTATAAAATCGTACGCGTGTTGGAAAGGAACTACAAACCGCACTTGCAAATACATACATTGTGAAGAAAAAAAGGGTGAGTTTTTTAAAATTCATTTTGTATTTACACTTAAACCTTTTTCTCTATAGCGACGGTAAAAGAGCGCCAGATCTTCTTTGCTGGCTTTGCTTCTTTTGCATACAATTTTGTAACAAACGCACTGTTATATCCGTTTCCGCTATTCGAGTGGTACGCGATTGCACGTACATATCTATGCAGTTATGGTAGAAGAATGTACACTTAACTCTCGTTATATGAGTCTCGTTATGGGTGCGTGTGTATGCGGTTTAGTGTTTGTTCTGTTGTGTGCCGTTTCATTTCCGCTTAATAAACTGCAATAATTAAACTCACAGAATGGGATTAAAAGGATTGCAATGAAAGAAGTAAAAGATGGAAACAGAGAAAGTATATAACAACAACAGCTAAGTGCAGGCCCAAAATAGAATCAAGCTAACCAAACAGCACGTATAAATGTTGCAACAACAATAAAAAAAACAAAAACAACAACAACAGCGACAACAATAACTATAAACTATAAACAGTAACTTTGTTATATGTTTGTTTGTCTTATTTGTTCATTTTTGTTTCCCCCGTTTTTCTCTTTTTCTATTTCGTTTTTTGTTGCTGTTTTTTTACTTCATTTTAATGAACATTAAATTAATTTTTATATGCTTTCTACTCTTTTTACTTTTAGTCGCCTTCTTTGAACACATACACATGCACATATATATACATATATATATATTTTTTTTCCCTTTTTTTTTTTTTTTTTTTTTTTTTTTCTTTGCTCTATTCTTCGCTTTATCGTTTCACTATCCATTGGGTTAGTGAACTTTGACTGCATTCACTTTAATTTATAGCATTTTATTGCTCCTTTTATATTGGTTTGGAATAGTGAAATCGCCAAAATATTTATTTAGTATTAAACGAGCTCTAACTTTGAAAGACTCATTAATTCTCTTTGCCACACACATATAATATACCTGTATAGACCAATTCATGCATATCAATTTGTATTCGTTTTACTTAGATTTGACAGATTTTGATAAATTCACTTTACGTCTATTATACCTTAATAAAAACGGTCACTACGCAACTATTTTTATACTACTACAAAAATAGGATACTTGTATAGGTGTGTTTGCTTGACATATTTCAAAAACGACATTGTACAGTTTGTGTCATGTTTTGAATCAATATGCAATATTGAAGCGTTTTAAACTTGAGCATCTGTGTATGACAAATACACAAATTGAAGGACCCTAAAGGTCTCTTAAGATCAAACGAATGTTTCCAGTGCAAAAGTTAATCGATCAATTATATATTCAAAATATTGTTCTAAACGATTCCCTATATCGTCATTGCAGAGAAATAGTAGTCAACAAGTCTTTGAATTTCGATAGCGAATGACTGGCAAAAGACTGCCACATGTTGCTCAGTAGAGGATCGAACAATCATTAATAATTAGTTAGTCAGGCTGGTTAATACATCATCGCGATTTCGATGATTCCACTAAACATATTGCGCATTCTCAGTCCTCAACTGATTTTGACCAGTTTTCGACTTGACGTCGAACGTTTACTTCCAAGATTTTGGACAAGATCGCAAATGAAAACGAACACACTTGCCCGCCGAAAATGGTAATCACGCGACCACGTACACTGCGCACATACCTACAACTTAATGAGGCAGAAAATAGAATCGATGCTTTTGCATATGTAGTTCAGCTCCACAATTTTTGTTTTCTAAAACGATGCACTGCACTCATAAATATAACCACAATATCAATTTATGACAAATATTGATTTGAAAGTTTCCATAAATACGGAGCGACGGACCATTCAACACCCACCCATAAAATTCGTAGAATAACTTATAGATTAGATGAAGCCATTTAGTGTTTACTTACCTTACTAATCTGCAAACGAAGTGTGTACAAAATTTCTTTGATTTTCTCGATTAATTGTTACAGTGGTTTTAGTGATGCTTTGAAATTCTGAATCTGAATTTCGTGCATTGTTCGACCATTGCTTTTTATCGGGCAAAAATATCGTTCAAGCAAAACAATGGCTGCACAAGTGTTATTTGAGCTCCGTCCTATCGAGACAAATCGTAGAAAACTTGATTTGTTGCTTTAAAAACGCGACCGTACAAACAGCGATAGTGGTGAACGCTCTAGTCTACAGCTGTTCAACTAAACATAAAAAAAGTGCACAAAATCGTTTTGGAAGATCGTAGAATGAAATTTCTTAACATAGCTGTTATCCTAATGATATCAAAAGCAAATGGATTTAATAATTTGCTTGAGGAAGCTGTTCGAAATGGGTACCGCATTTGTTTACTTTTGATCAAAAACGACAACGGATTGATGGGTCAAAGCACTGCTTCGTGTTATTGTGGGCGAAATAAAAAGGTTATTTTCATACAATATGTGGCAATAGGCGAGATATGGATTCGTTACTACATTCCGTAGTCAAATGGGCAATAGCCCTCGTAATAATTGACTGCAAACGTCCGTATTTTGGAATGCGTATGATATAATATTTATCGACTATCTTCAAAAAGGACAGAGAACCAAGCCCGAATATCACATAGCTATCTTTAGTGCGATTGAATGACGAAATTGAAAAAAATCGATCCCAAATGAAAGAGAAAATAATGCTCTTTCAATAAGACAATGCACCGTGTCACTAGTCCACGATAACAATAACAAAATTGCATGGATTGAATTTCGAATTGCTTCTGTATTAAGCGTTTTCTTCAGATTTCGCCTCCAGCAGCTAATACTGCAAGCAATGAAGTCAGCATAAAAATTGAAGCCTATTGATAAATCGTTTTGCAAGAAAGGCATCGAAATGTGAGAAAAGCATTAGAGCGATTGAATTATTTTTTTAAAAAATCCCTTATTGAAAGTGAGATTTTGTCTTTAGTCCCAAAGATCATTAATTTATATGCAAAGTTTCTTAATTTTTGTAAATGTAGTACTTAGGACATTAGTTTTGATTAATTGAATAAAATTTCACTGAATGAAAATACTTTTCCTTCCTATTTTCCTTTCCAAGTTATTCAAAAGCATTTTCATACCCTTATTCAAATATCAAGCAAACTCATCATTCGTATGCTACATGGAAACATATAAGGATTTAAAAATGTTCTCTTCCCAGAGTCTAACAATTATCTACTTATCAAGCTCTTGAAAGTAACTCATGTTCGTCTTAATTCAAAATATAAGGCTCTTAGCTATAACTGTTATAAGGATATTCAAGCGTGAGCGATAAAACACCCCTCTAATTTCTTACACTTATATATGCATATACATATATATATATATATATTTATATGTACATATATATATTTATATATACATATATATATTTATATATACATATATATATATATATATATATATATATTAACATTAATGTATTTATTGTGTATATATAAATATACATATATTTATATATACATATATATATTTATATATACATATATATATATATATATATATATATATTAACATTAATGTATTTATTGTGTATATATACACAAATAATATAATATATATAGAAGAAAAATTAAAATTTTTCAATTTGACTTCTTCTCTCTCGCAAGCAGTCAATTTAAGTGGAAGAAGCATCAAATTACAATGCACACAAAACCGCAAAGTATTAAAGATAATCATCTTTATACAAAGGAAAGAAAAAAAGGTTTATAAACTTTATACGAAAAAAACAAAACAAACTTAATAGTAAAAGAGAGAAAGAGATGCGGTGGCATAAAAATTTGTCCGTACTTTTAAAGAAAAATATCAAATAACCGAACATTTATTTACAAGTTAAATAAGCAAGACATATTTGAAAATTTTTGAAATACTAAGACATTTTTCAAATTTAAACATAAGAATACTCAAAGAAATCCCAAATTAAACCAACTCCTAAAAGTTAAAAATTTAAATTAATTGACTGCTTATAAATGTCACGTTCTATTAACTATGCCAGAAAACTGATAAAGAGATCGTACGACTTACTAAAAGTTACTATAAAAGGTTTGATAGCTCAACTGGAGCAAGTTAACCTCTATTCATGCTGAGTAGTGGACAGAAGATATATTTAAGTACGCTCAAAACTGTTTTTGTAGTGAATAGAGATCGCATAAAAAAAAATCGCACAAAACTTTACGAATAGTTATAAAAAATAATTTTTGCAACACAAAAAAAAAAAGTTTTTTTTATGCGGTGATTAGAGATCGCATAAAAAAAAATCTTATTCAGAAAATAACTGAAAACCTTATAAACATATAATCATCCTTATCCTTTGCAGTCTGACAATACGCGGACTTTCTTGTGGTAAACTCAATTTCGCTTTCGTCACTCGAACTCGTTCAGAGTTGATTTTTTTCCAATTACCATGTAGTCAGTGATCAGTTTTTGCAATGACTGTTGTTTCATTAGACGCTCGTACATGTCTCGCAAGGTTGAAGCTCTTTTTCGCAATTTTGAAGTTCTTTCAGAATTGCCATCAATGACAAGAAAATTACGTACGAATTTATGGTAAAGGTGGAGTCCTGCGTAGATTTTATCTGCTGTCATATAGTCGGATTATTCTTGCCCAACCAGTAACATCGATTACGTAATTTTTAATGTCATCATCCCTTGAGGTTGCATCCTGAATCATTTCGACTGAACGTATTAAATCCCCCGATGCCATATCCTATCGCAACGATATATGTCGTCAACATTAATGTGCTTTCGACTGCATTTTTATTAATGACACATCCCGACTAGGCAGCTTTCCAGCATGCATTTGATGCATGCACTATTTTATTTCAGTAAAAAAAAGCCGAAATATATATCGAAAACCTTTTCCGAACTTCGGTCAAGATATTGCAACGTTTTCAAGTCTTTCCACAGTCTATCTAAAAATTAACTTCACGTAGTGTTTCTTAAAAGCTGCAATTATGCCCTCATCCAATGATTGTATAATATAAAGCTCGTCAGTTTGATAAAAATGTGATAAAAATGCTACTTTCACATTACA